AAAATTGGTCTTTTGTGGTTCAAACTTCAATATAGTTTAAGTTCTTTAACACTTTTCATTTTAACTATCAAAACAGGTTATTTTTAGCTCTTAGAAATTTTATTTGGACCCGAGGATTTTTCACGCTCGGCCCGCATGATCCGATCTATTCAGCCAGGACCGAGACCGAGACTGACGGACTTTCGGTCGTACAGATGATGAAACACTTATATACTTTAAGTACTCGGCATCCATACACAGTAATCAAGCTTAAAACTTTTCTTTCTTTCTTTCTGTCTTTTTTCTTTCTTTCTTTTTCTTTCTTTTTTTTTTTTTTTGAAAATAAAAATCGTTCGGGCGGAGCCATTTTTGCCGGGCGGGCGGGGATGAGAATCTGGGAATTTATTTTCTATTGCCTTATACCGAAATAATATCAGTTTCAACGGTGTATTTAACACCTGTCTTGTCGTTTCGATGCAAAATAATAACCGCTTTGGCATACGGCCTTCGTGGTCAATTCCTATATACACATCAAACTCAAATGTTAAATAGCAGATAATACACCGCTGAAAACGATATTATTTCTTAAATAGCCTCCCATATTGTCCCTGTTTCTATTCGATGTTATACACTGTAAGTCGGTTATATGTGTCTGTTGTCAGTTGCGTATCTTGGTCTTTAAGTCTTTAAGGAATAAAAATCTGGAAACAAAGTAATCCCTCGGAAGCATTAATCAGAACAAAATTACTTAAGAATTGCAGACTCGGTTTGATTGCGTCTGTACATGAGGGATAATGAATAAGTGCAACATCCCTCACGCCCCCTAGCACCGGCTGAGCGGTACTCAATTCTCAACACTTAATAGCGCTGGCATCAATAATCCCGAAGGACCAGACAAATATAACAACACTGAAGTGAAGTACGGGGCAACTTTTAACAGCTGCCACACAGCACTTGACACCTGCTGTTGTGAAGTATACAAATCTGGAAACAAAGTGATCCCTCGGATTCATTATTCACAACAAAATTACTTAAGAATTGCAGACTCGGTTTGATTGAGTCTGTACATGAGGGAACATGAATAAGTGCAACATCCCTCACGCCCCCTAGCACCGGCTGAGCGGTACCATATATTATTTCCATATAAACCTATAAACCTATATTATTTTCCATATGTGTGATACTTTCAATGTTTTTTTTAACTATGTCATTGTAACCTTTACAATTTTGAGTCATTTTTTTCTGTTGTTAAAATCTCCCCGAGCATCTCAACAATGATTCACCATGATCATCTACTTGTTACCATTTATCTTACGTTGAAACCCTCTTTACAATATCCAGGAATATGGCTTTCGAACACATACAGAAGTACCTCAAATATTGTTTAATCAAATCATGTTGAATAAATTCAGAAAGTGTATAGGGAAAGTACCTTAGATATCCACTCAGTTTGACAATTTATTACAAGATAATAAATTTTATCAGCGAAAGAATTTCGGTGTATTTATAGACTTCATTTCATATTGCTGTATAAATTATCAAATTATTTTTTTTATCTGCACGTTTAATACTTAAACCCTTTTAAGTTGACGGTATTGACATAACTTAAACATCACCACAATTTGAAAATTCGGCTCTCGTTGATAAGGAAAATGGAGGAAAATATATTCCATACTTTGGATTGACATTAAAGCAAATGATATTGATCTCATTAGATAATCATTGAATTTAGAAGAATATTTCAAGAATGCCCTCTCGAGTTCATAATGAAAAATTGACCGTAGTAGCCCGTAATTGTGTTTTGAACACGGGTACGGATTTTTTTGTTATCATATAATGCCTGTAGTTAAAAATAATTAAATAACAAATTATAATTTTTGGCTTTTTTGCACGCTGATAATATGCTCATTTATTACTGATTTACTATAATTGTATATGATTAGCCGTTAGTTATGGAGCTTATTTGATATTTTCTCATAAATTTGGAAAAATGTCCAAAATCATGACATTAAAATGACAAAAATGTCAAAGAAAAATCGTAAATTATATTTGAGAACATTTTATACTTTTTATTTCATCTTTACTTGACTAGATTTCAAACATTTGCCAAAATGTTTAAGAATTTTTACTACACTTAAGTAACTCGTATCTTTAAGTATGCTGATAAAGGCATTTTAAATATAACACGTTTTCTTAAACTGTTTGCGCCTATCAATATAATTCTGAACATCTTGTAAACCATTTGTCCATCAAAATGTTCGTAACGCAACGTAATTAATTTGTTTCAGTTCGCCACAATTTTCGCCCCACCTTGACTTATTACCTAATTCATTATGCAATGCATTTCTGTAGTGTAGTGCATATTCGTTGCAGAAAATTCATTTATTTTTAAAATCTCACTAACTACGCAATAAATATATGTATGATTTATTCTACTTGAATCTCTAAATTATTTTGCCATTTATTTATTTGCTCATTTGTCTATCTCATTACATAAATCATTTGAGTAATAGTTGTATATTTCAAACGAAGAAAGTACAACAATAGTACGTATACTTTGCTTTTGTCTCAATATCATATTACTCTACAAATACTCAATAGCTTTGAATGATAACAAAAGCATATCTCTTCGCGATGATAACAATTGTTACAACCAACCTTTTGATCAATATATCAAGAAAAAAATGAAAATGTAAGTCGAATGTGTATAAATAGTATGTATATATATTTATATATGAATATTACATTAAATGCTTTTGTAATGTTTATGTGATGCCGTCATATACTATATTTCTGTTAAGATGAGGAGCGTATGCTCAGTCCGAAAATAATGAAATATTTGTTCTGTTCTGTTAAATAATCTTATTTTTTCTTTCTTTTCAATATTATCCAGTCTTTTATGACCTAAATGAAAGAAAGTGTTGAGTTAAACTGTTGCATGTGGATCTGAATGAAATTCTGAATGTTTGCAGAGAGCCTTGCGTGCACGAAATTCACGTGGGAAAAAGAATAATAGAAAAATGCTTTTTCCAGGATCGAACTAGTGTCTTTACACTCACGTAGCGAATAACCAACCGCTACGCTTTTACGCTGAATAGATTGATTAAATTAAGAGTAAATTATTAATGTTGTAAAAATTGTAGACGATAAATTTAAGAATTATCGGCCCCTATTTGTCAATATCAATGTAAACAGATATAATGTAATGAAAAAGCTAATTTAAACTATAAGTCTTAAGATCAAATATTGACTGTGCTTTCCCATAAATTTGAATAAGTGCTATAAAATTATTTATTTTATACCTGGTTCTATTTATAGATTGCTCAAAGCTAAATCGTTCGTTATTTACTCCTGGTGTAGAAAATGGCGGACACTGATTTTAAAATGGAAACAAACACATCGATTGGGGAAGAAAATACACACTATACATGTCAGGTAAAGTTCATTTTTGTGTCTATTTTCTGTCTAGTCTTAACCTGTTATCATGATTTCAAACTTTCAAAAAGTAGTCTGTAATAGACATTAATAACGAAAGAATATTTCTTTAAATCTAATGTCTTTTGTAGAGAGGATTGTTTTCATCTTTATTAAGTTAATTGACGTCATAGCTAATGTTAAAAAGTTTTGTCAATAGTCCGTTCTTTTAAATGAGAAATGTCTTGAATTCTTTTCATTCCCATCATTTTTGAAAACAATGTCTAAGGTTGCCATACATGTAAATATTATCCTGTACAGTGTTCCTTATTTGTTAATAATAATTATAATTCCGTTTTCAGTTCCTTGCCTCAGGTTTAGTGTCCTTTAAATCTGTTTGCCTTGTTTCCATTTTATGTCCTGGTCTTTCAAGTGTTTATATGTGACTGTCGGTGGATGCTGATTAGTTTATACGAATTTACTTCTGATCAGTTCAAATTGTGTTGGAAGCTTTAAGCTTATTGAAACACCCTAGAATCCGTTCCTGGAACCAACCAGTTCTAAGCAATGAATACAAAGTTGCTGATTTTGATACTGATCTTTATCTACATGTCTTTACGAAATAAACCTATAATGATTTTTTACTAGAGGTGTGATACTGGTAATTTTGTTTTTAAATGTGTCATTGTAACAATTGCATTTGTTGCAATTTTGTTTGTCGTTAAAATATCCTCGTTCATCTATACAATGATGCTATATTCCCATTCACCATGATCACCGACTTGTTACCAATTATCTCTCATGGAGAACCTCTTACAAATATACAGAAAAATGGCTTTTGATTACATAAAGAAGTAACTCAAATATTGGTTATGCAAATAACGACGAATTAATACAGAGTTTAAAGTGTATTCGAAAAATACCGTAGATATCCAAGCAGTATAAAAATGTATTAAAAGATAAAAAAAAAACTTTCTAAGCGAAAGGAATGCCGCGGTATTTATAGACTACGTATTTTTAGACTATACATATAATTTTACTATATTAATTATCAAATATGATTTACTGCACCTTTCAAACTTTCGATCTGTAAAGCCTAAGATATTTACATAACTTTCACAACATAACAACATTCGTTGCTAAGGAACACTCAGGAATATATCCATACTTTGGACTGACATTAAACTAGAACTGCCACTGTCATGGCGTGAATACCCCCGCATACCACTTTGTCAGAATCAACAGTGGTCATTTTGAGCTCAAGGAACATCTCCCTGCCAAATCTGAGGAATACCCCTCACCCATTCATGCAGTTTTGCCTGGGGTGTTTCATGATAACTATATGAGAACATAATTATATGCTTCAAATGTGAAAATGACAAAATCAAGACACTGTGGACAGCCATTCTTAAGCATTTGAGCAGGCAAACTTATCGTAGGAAAAGCCCTTGTGACCTTGACCTTTGACACAGTCACCTAAAATCAATAGGAATCGTCTACTAGGGAAACCAAATCTCATAACCAAATATGAAGACCTTTGACCAAAGCATTCATTTCGACCAACCCTACCTATACAATATACTAAATCATACATCCCTGTATTTTCATTCCAGAAAAGATTACTGATCGTCCTTATTTCTACAACTATTGCTGAACTGATATTCCTGTTTTCACTTGCCGGTCACTGGCGACAATTAAGGTCGGATATAATGTCGGATATAATGGCTCCAAAGTCATCTAACATGTGCCTCCCGTTGCGGAAAGTTATCATAGAATATTTTGAGGACGAAAGAAGTCAACACTGTCCAGACGGACTTAAGGAAAAGGTCAACGAAACAAGAGGAACAAGATTATGTTGTGGATCTATGAGCATTATCGTCAATCAAATTTCCGCCAAGGTACATATACAAAATCATGACAATCTATATTTCATATGTAATGCATTTCAAACGCATAAGATATGTCATAAACCTTATATTTTAATTATATTTGCAGATCGTTAACGACAAGTATGATGACGATGCTTTTCCTGGTAAATTATAGTATAGTACCTACAGTATATGTACCAATTTGTTTGATACAAAACAGTATCCAATAATAATCTATTTTATTCATCAAAGTGATATACCTTTTAACTATTTCAAAATTGAAACAAACAAAAATTCATGTGGTAATAATTGTGTAAAACCTCGTTACTATCATTTTATGAGACCATTATATAATACTCTTTCGGTGTACTAATTAATGTGCTTAATGTAGAAAACTAAATATGTAATGGTGTATAATTTATGTAGAAATTGCATCACTTGATATCACGGCATTTAACTGTTCCGAAAAGAAGACGGTACCGCTGGAAACACATCTTATAGGTATTTCAAGTGATAAACAACAAGGTAATAAACTAACATATGTTAATTGATAATTAATAAAATAAAGGATACACATATAATGCGAATAAAGGCAGATCTTAAAATAGATTCACACTTTGTAATCTCTGTCATAACTAAGCAATATAGGAACAAATTTTAACATGTTACTCAGGTAGGCTAAGGCTAAAGAAATATTGCAAACCGCAGTAATAATCCTAAAAATATAAAACAACACTGCCAATTGTGTTATTTTGTATGAATAATCGTATTCATTCTAAGATCTTAATATATATTTTGATTAAAATATTATTCACACATTTGCTCAAATTGTAATCTGAAAAAAGTAAATTCATGAAGAAATCTGGAAATATGAAATTATTCCTTTAACTGTTGCAATCAATATAAAAGATGTTACATATGATATAAAATGCACATGTTCTGAGTGCAATTTTTAATAATAAAATACTTTTATTCAAAATGCAGTCACATAAACATACATTTCATAAACTCACCTGTTTTCCATATTAAGTTCATTAATTAGATGACTTCATATCTTACATGTCAGTTACTTTGTAGATCAAATGAACCTTTCTTCGAGACTGTTTTGGAATAGCACCTACCCATCGTTTTCTTGTCCTAGACTGAGATATCTGACAGACCATGGAACAATAAACATCGAAACGAGTGGGTATTTCTATATTTCATCACAACTCAAGTCAAAACACTATATTAAAAATGGCACAGCAGGTGTTTCGGGCGCCAATTTTAAACATTTCATTTACAGAATATCAAAAGATAGAAAAGAGCACGTTCTGTTAGGAGGAGAAAAATCATTTTGTAAAGTTGCGTCAGACAGTTTTGAATGTACAAGTTTGATTGGTGCTGTTTTCAAACTTGAGACCGGAGACCAGATATATGTATCCACCTCTCATCCAGAGAGTCTTGTTCCCGAGTCTAAAGATAATTACCTAAGCATTTATGGTGTGTAATGTGCACATATTTTTTTAGATAAAAATTAGGCTAAAGAAACAATATACTTGCATGTTGTTTGATTATTTTCAGTCTTTTTAAATTTTTGTCATTTATATTAAGATTAAACTATAGGAGGAGTTAAAGTAATTTTGTTTTAGAAGAATGCACCCTGTTCACTATGAATGTTATTTGGCACTAGCGGGCAACAAGAATGGGGACACACATGAAAACAAAGGCTACACTTAAAGCTGGATATATCTGAAACTGTAAATCAAATAATAATGCTTGTTTAGTTAAGAACTACTGTCATAGTATTACATGTCGAAAGAGTTTCTTAACATACATCGACATTTGAAGATTAATGTAGCAGACGTAGTAAAATGATCTCACATTTGATCTCACATGTGTTTTAATGCAGATATTTTAAATTAAAACAACCCCTTCCCTTTTTGTGTGTAAATTATGTAATAATATGCTTTGTGAAATTCATACTTTTATCACCATGCTCATTTTGTTTTTTAATTTCGGTCCTCAACATTTCTACATGTGAAAATATGAATTTTGTAGAAGAGCAGGAAATAAAAAGGGTTCTTCAGAAATTTTTGTTGAAATGTGGATCAATAACAGTATTGTTATTTTTTATTCATTTAAATTCCTCTTATTAAACATATTTAACGATCGTTTGTATTAATAAAGTGAATTGGTCTACACATTTTTCATTTATTTAGTATTTCAAATATTTATGAAAACAATAAAAACGTATCATTTGGATTTTCTTAAAAAATATTGTTTTAAACATTTTATGATAAAGTAATTTAGAATAAGCATACACATGTATATGATGAATAATAAATTTTTATTCTAGAACAATTTATTATCTACTATATACACATATGTTATATTAGATCATGTATCCAACACTTACCCACACAATCCATATATTATTCTTTCGTGATTTGTGTTCTCAAGTCACATGATACTGAATACTATCAACAAACTTATTTATGGAATGACAGACTTTCACTACATACCAATTCACTTTAAGAGTCCGTCATTGTACTGTGTTACTCATATAAACATATATTTAATAAATTACGTTTCGAATTATATGATTTCATGAAGGGACATTAGTAGTACTGTAAAAAGTATACAAATGAACCAAAGTTCAATTCTCATTTTCACATCAAATCCATATTTTGCTAGAAGTAACAAAGAGTTTTCAAAATGTAATGAAATAGTGGTGAAATAAAGAGGTCATTAAACATTGTTGAATGCAATACGGATTGTACTGGACTCGTTCACAGCTGCAAAACCTATTTTTGACTCGGGTAGCACGTTGTTTAATGTAGAGTTGACAGTTGTGCTCTCTTCCAAAATAGTCCAACAATGTTTAATAACTTTTACTTTTTATCATCATATGTAAATAAGTAACGGGACCTTATGTCGAAATCAAACATTTATCAAGTCACCAACTAAAGTGTATGGTGGCTGATTTGTGCCATTCTCTTTACGCCCAGCTACCGCGCCAAGCGAAATTTTGAGAATTAACAAGTTAAAATATCGGGGACGCGGGAAGAATTTTAATAAATAAAATTTCACCACTACGGGGGCGCGGAGCGAGATGTAAAAAAATAGAACGGCGGGACGCGAAGCGAAATCACGCTAATTAGCGTCCTCGCCATTTTAAATAATCAATTCTCGACTTTTTGCTTGGCGGGACCGCGGGGCGAAAACACACTGATAAGCAGGAGCGCGGGGCGAAGTTTTATTTATTAAACGTCGCCCCGCGCCCCCGCTAATAAGTGTATTTTCGCTCCGCACCTGCCGTTTAAATGCTGTCATCTCGCTCCGCATCCCCCAAACCCGAGGCGATGTTTAATTTCTAAATCTGAGCCCGCGGCCTCGCTAATAAGCGTGTTATCGCTATGCTGCCGGGCCATTTTAACTTGTTAATTTTCGACTGTTCGCTTGGCGGGGTCGCGGGCCAAAACACACTTATTAGCGGGGGCGCAGGGCGAAAGTTTTTATTATTAAACTTTCGTCCCACGCCTCCGCTAATAAGCGTGTTTTTGTTCCGCGCCCCCGCCGTTTAATTTTTTAAAAATCGTTCCGTGCTCCTGCGAGGCCAAGATTTATTTCTCAAACTTCGCCCCGCGTCTCCGCAAATTATCGACTCTTCGCTCCGCGCCGCCGCCATTTTTACTTGTTAATTCTCGAATTTTCGCTTGGCAGGGTCGCGAAGCGAAAACACGAATGACACAAATCAGCCACCATAATAGTGTAATATTTGAGACTTTAATTACATTACTTTACAGAAGTTTTAATGAGAATGATACAACATGAATCAGAAACTGTTTCAAATTTTGATTTATATCTTGAGTTCCCATTCTATACTCAGTGCAGTATACATGGTATAATTGTATTACGCGGAATACCTAGTACACTGGGCGAATGACAATTTATATGTGAGTACATGAGGAGAGGTTTAAGAACTTAAATTGCCGATTTCGGACATTAATAAATTTTTTCTGTGGTTTAAGCACCCGTAAACAACAATATTATGTTACGAGAACTTCAAATCTGGAGTTGTTAATTGATGCTTGAACATTGTTTATTTCTGATTTTATTCATATACTCGGGCGGTTCTAAAGAGGGTTGCAAAGTAGGTCCAATTGTCTTTTTAAATCATTTTAAATCTAGAATGGAATGAGACACATATATTTACTACTGAGGCAAAAGCTATTGATTTAGCCTCATTATATATGTTACAGCATAATTGTAACAAAATTGTAATTTGTTTTCAGTTGTTATCAATTACAAATAGAAAATCCGATAACATTATGATAAAGGATTTAACGATATCTTAAAAACAAAGTCAGTGAAATTATGTTGGATCCCAAACCCCATAGGAATACGAAGAAATGACAACGTAGATATTTAGCTAAAGAATCTTCATTAGAGTAACCTTTAAATTACCAAAATAGTGATTTTAAACCTACCATAATTAAACTTATATATATTATGGAATGGAAATAAAATTTGGACAAAGACATATTTAACAAACTTCCTAATAAAAACCCCTGCCTTAACGTGTCGCCATCTCTATTTCTTGTTAACCGCCATGATCAGTTGGTTCTCCTTAAATGTCGAAGGAGACATTCATATCTGATAACTGGCGATAATGCTCCTTCTTTTAGGTTGAAATAACTATTCCACTGTCAACCATTTCATCCTTGAATGCCATGATCTTGCACCGGTTCGTGATACAGATTACTAAGTCAATTTACTTGCAGAATTTTTTGACGCATTTACTTCTAAAACGTTAATCGACTACTTAAATGAAATAAAAATGTATTCTAAGATTGAAAATACTCGTTGTTAACAATTAAAGTGTTTGGCCCGTTATGGCCAATTACACCACAGTGGAAAGCGTTTCTCATTTTTGGTTCTATCCTTAGTGCTGATGTGCCTGTCATGGCATATTTATTCTCATGTATGTGTAATATTTGTACCGTAAATGTCAATGCATATATGTTCTGTACCGAATTAAATCTATC